AAAAAAAAAAAAAAAAAAATTCTACAAGTACATAATAAATGTTCATAAGGTGTATATAACACTCGCATAAAAATTCTACGGGTTAATACCAATTTAGTTCGAACTAAAACTCATATTTTTTCAATGTTGCAAGAAAGAAGCATGACTTCAATTGAGTCAGGGAAGTTTATTATGACGTGAAAATAAGAGGATTGGCAGCGAAAGAGATCTTAGGTGGGGATTAAGGAGACGAACAACCATCTTCATGAGTTAAAAGAACGCGGAGGCGACAAGATTACGAGCGACGGTCGTAAATAGAAGCGACGGTCGTAAAAAATATGTGTGGAAAATTTAGTTGAAAATAAATAGTGGCATTTTGGTTGCTCCATAAAATGTGAGTAAGTGTGTTTTAAAATTTTTATAAACACAAGATATAATTATAGACTGAACTAGGGCCGGCTGTGCGTGCACAGCCGAGTACAATCTAGTATATATATATATATATATATATATATATATATATATATATATACATATATATACATTCAGTCATTTACTATGATCAACAAATACAATACATTCACTATCACTTTTTGGCCTTTTTGCATAATTTAATCTTCATCATTTTTATATTTTTATGTTTATGGGACGAAATGTTTATTTTTATGCTTATGAGACAAATTGTATATTTTTTATTTCATTATTGTTGTTTTTCTTATTTTTTAGGCCCAAATAATCCAAAACAAGGATTTTGGATTTAACCGGTTAACCGTCAAATTACCGGACCGTCCAATGCGGTTCGGATTGTGGCCGGTTAAAAATTAAAACCGGTCCGGTTATGGACAAGAAAAAAAATTAACCGTTAGGTCCGATTTGGTCATGGTTTGGGCTAAAATCGGACCAATCCGGACCGTGAACACCCCTGTCACTACACACTACATATATAAAAATAAACATAAAATAATTAACATTTTATATTATTTTTTGTTTGAAGATCACAACTTATATTTTTATTTGGATAGATAAATTTTGATATTTTTCTTTTACATTTATTTTTATAATCAATCGTACCATTTTTTTTAGCAAAATAAAATTGCAATGTATATTAGTTATTATATATATCTCAGTAGGAAGACGTACAGCTTTCAATGCCCCACCCCAACCAGTACAGTACCATAATTCAACCCTATACATTTATTACTGATTTCTTGCTCAGACTCCATTTTATTATTTTATCAACAGCTTATATGTCATCATGTTTGCACCTAATTTTTCCTTTTATTAATTTTTCCATTAATTAACCACAGGTATTTAAATTTATTGAGAAAAGATGACAATATGACATACAAATTAAAAAACGAGAAAAGTAAACAACACAAGATTTACGTGGTTCGGCAATATGTCTACGTCCACAGGTATTTCACTTTGCTCGGTCGCTCCGCTTCCCTCGCTACGTTCGCTTCGTTACGCTCGCAGGCATCAGCCTGCCCCCTTCCTTTGTCAATATATGAGTCATACCAACAAAATTTATTTCAAGTTTTATAATAAAAATGAAAAGGATAATGGTAGTAGTTAAAATCATAAAATAAAATGAAATTATAAGAAATGCATGCTTAAAAGAGAAGCGGAAATTAAATGAGGACAAAAGTGAAAAATGAAATTACTATATATATATAAAAAAAAATGTTGCTTAGTTTTTAAATTTAATAGTAAATAAGTAAATGGAAAATAAACTGTATCTATTTATAGAAATTTTTAACATGATTATATATAGTAAGTAAGTAATGCCCACAAAAAAATGCAAAAAAACAATAGTATCATTATTTGAACCTGGATAATAACGAGACTAAAATTTGAACAATTTAGTCAAAATTATGGCAGACATGATTGCGGCATAGGTGGAAAAATATAAATTGATATATTTTTTTTTTCGGTACAATATTAATTGATATATTGCCCCCACATCTTTATTAATTCATTAAAACAATGCCCTACATATAATTATAACATCCTCACTGTTAGCTAATTAAATTTAATAAGAGTGAAATACAAAATAGTACAATAAATAAATATATGCACCCAAGTACATGTGAATATATAGACCATATATAAAAGACAGGAGAATACTACGGTCCCGTTATGGAACCAATATTACGTCAGGAATTTTAACTATTGGATCATCTATCCTATACTAACTACATAATGATCAAACTGTTAAAACTTTCGACAGAATAATTACGTAACGAGACCATAGTATTTGACGAATGTACATTGTTGATGTACAATACCTATATGAGATTGCATATGTACTTTTTCTTGTTTGGTATCATTTGGTATATTTCTTTTTGAAACTACAATGCAATTTCTTTCAGAAATCCAAAATTTATATACTTTCACTTTTTTTTTTCCTTTTCGATTTCATTCATAAAACTAAATAATAGAAGTTAATTATTAATTTATATTTCCTGATAATAAATATTATTCAACCACTCACGTTACTTTAGCGATAAACCCTCTAGATTCATTATGTATTTTTTGTCATATTTTTTTCGAAAAGAGAACCAGTCAAAGGCCGAAAGATATAATCAACGGTTGAAGAGACTGAGAGGCAGACCCGAAAATCGCCTAGAGACAGATCTAGCAACGCTAAAAATGCAGACACTACCAAAGCAAAAAAAAAAAAAAAAAACTACCACTAACTAAATTATCCCAAAAGGATAATGCTCGAGTGAGCAACGATCCCAACAGGATAACAAAACTCACTCGGGAAAAAACAGAGGCCGAAAGCCCAGACCATTAACACAGACCTATCAAATAGACAAAAACTAAACAAAAACAAACTTACACAACACAAAACTAAAGAAAACAAAAAAAGCCCTTCCCAAGCAGCAAGATCAAGCAGAGCCAACAAAACCAAGTCGACCTAAAGTGAATCCCACAACCAAAGAGGACCAACTTTGAAACTGCCCAACACCAACCCGGTGGCCTAGCGAAGTTGAAATCCAAGCCTCGGAACATCACGCAAAGTCGGACTCAAACCACCTCCTAACTGCCAAAGAACTGCCACTGGACCGAACCCGCTGACACCACTAGTGAGTCCGACAGCACTCGGTAAACCCCGAAACTCGGAGCGTGAGAAAAAGGGGGAAAGAGCAATAAGATGTCGAGGTCGCCGCCTCGACCCCCAAATCGACTGAAACCACTGTAGTCTTCTACCCACCACCGCTCCATCCCGTCCAACACCATTGTCTAGAAGACGAAGAGTCAGTCCTCCCTGACCCACGCCAGAGTACAAGGAGGGGAGAAGGCCGACACTGCGGCGAGATCCCAGCACCTCCAAAACGGAGGCCATGAACCACCTGAGCTGAACCCAACCCTATCCCACCACATCACACCCCACCCAACACCACCGAAGCTCCTCGAAAACCCACGATGTGAAGACAGAGCAGAGGTTCACAAAGAAAGGCGCCTCGACCATAAAATATCAACAGCCACCGTAGCACGATGACAGGGGAAGCACGACATCAGGATTGGGGCTGACCGCCGGCGAAGCTCAGTCGCCGCTGAGGAAGGCGGAAAGCAGGGAGATCGGCGAGCAACGAGGGTTTGGAGTTTGGGGATTTTTTTGTTTCTGGTTTAGAGATCGGCGAGCTATTTTTTGTCACACTAACATTAATCATTACATTTTATCTCATATATATTCATTTAAAAGTTTTATTCTTCCATCTTTTTTTTTTTTTTTTCAATTGTTAAGGTCACTTTTCTCATTCAAATATTTTTATCTAAAATAATCTATACTCGGTCCAACCCCATTCATAGTAAGATAACTTAAAATACTCATCAATATGCAATAAATCTTATGTTTCCATGCATCACTATTTGAGTACAAAGTTTACATCTATCTCTATCTTGTCATATACTCATTTAATAGCCTTTTTCATTTTATGCCATTTTCTTATACATGATTTATAATATAGATCTTGAATTTCACATTAATATTGTGTATTTTAAAATAATATATATATATATATATATATATATATATATGGTTCTATTTTGGCTCATTCATTTTAATTTTATCGACATTTCATGATTTTATTAATACAAAATTTATATTTGATATTAAATAATATTTCATTTTTCACCATATTTTTGGCACATGCAATTTACAATATTTTCCTATACTATTTTTTCATAAATAGTGCTACTTAAATTAAAAAAAAAAATCAGGTTACCCCATTATATTCTTAAATTGTTTATCAAATAAATTATGAACATGATAATAACTCTTTCTCCAATGAAGAGTCAAAATTTTCCATGAAAAAACCAGTGAAGACTACAATCTCGTTGCAATATGGTTCCATCAGTGTTTTTAACCATACATAAACATATAAATCAATAATGTGTAGATAATCTACCGTTAAAAACATCGATAAAACGTATCCTAGCCTTCTCCTAAAAGGAAAAATGATTACTTTTTTTTTCATCCGACAATTACGTACACACCACAATTAATTAAAAAAAAAAAGAGTAATGCTACATAACCAACCTAGTGTACAACTAGGTTGACAATACAAGTGTAAACACTCATAAAATTAAAAATAAAAAAATACACAAGTGGATGTTTACACTTGTGTTGTCAATCTAATTGTACACTAGGTTGGCAATGTAGCATTTTAAAAAAAAAAAGGTAGAAATGTACACTTTATTTAATTAACAATAACAACAGCGCACAGTGACAAATCGTCATCGCAACATAAATAAATTCCTCCCACACGAAACCCTAAACATTCAAAAATGCGACAATCAAACACCCAAATACATTAAATAAAACTTTTCCAATGAAAAAAGCTGACAAATCAACTTTAAAAAAACAAAGGAAAAAGAAAGAAAAAAATTAACTGGAAATCTGACCAAACATTAATCAATTTTCTGCCTTCTTCCTGAGCAGATATTGAAACGAGGGTCTGCAGAACTCCCCACCCAGAAACGACGTCGTGATGACCTTGTACGCTGCCTCGGTGAAGTGTGCGCCGTCCCAGTTGACGTACTCGGAGGGGTCGGGGCAGGACGTCGAAGCGCTCGACCCGCACGTGTTGAACACGTCGAAGTTGAGGTCCCCGCCGCCGTATCCGCAGCAGACGCGGTACGGCTGCCGGAAGCCGTAGCGAGTGGCGTTCTTGATGAGGGTGAGGTGAGAGTTGTAGTAGTCGGCGTAGAGGATGACTGCCTGCGGGTGCTGGGCCCTGAGGGAGCGGAGCTGGGCCTGCAGGGCCGCGTTGTGGGCCGTGGTTATGCGGTTGACGCTGGCCACGCAGCCCATCTCGTCTCGGTCTTCGGGCGAGGCGAGGGAGAAGGAGTAGGGGATGCAGCCCGTTGAGGGCAGCCCCTGGACGACTATGTATTTTGCCCCCTTGTTCAGCACAGCCTGCATGTCCACCAAAATTAATTAAATTAACTAATTAATTTGCTTATATTAGTCAAAATATATCTATGGTACTATTTGCCTCAAAACCAAGGACCATATATAAATAAACGAAAGAACAATATTCCATTATTATATGATATACCTGTAAGAAGCCGACAACACTACGTATGGCAAGGCTCTGTATGACTTTACTCGAGAGAGACGACCCGAGGCTGCACGTGTAATCATTCGCCCCAACCTCTCCTACCCAAATCAAGGCATCTCCAAGAGCACCCTCACACTGTGTGGGCGTGCTCTTGTAGTCCTTGCACCCCGTGCTCCCCAAAACCCTGTCGAACCAGACGAGCTGCGTCTGGAGCGACTGGGGCACCAGATTGAACGTCACGTTGTTCTTCACGAAGAACCCGTGCCGTATGGCGGTGGCCCCTCCCACGGCGAAGTTGACCCCGTGTGATCGGTCGGCAGCCGGGTCGCGATACGGCGGCACGAAAGGCAGTGACAGGGCTTCCGCCACGAAGTCGAGCACGATGCGCCCGTCCGAGTACCGGTTGGTGGGGCGGTGGAAGAAGGTGATGCCGTAGGGCGGGTCCGAGACGTGGTTGAACGCGGTGGGGCCCGTCGAGGTCCTCGTGTTGCCCGTGTCCGTGTACGAGTCTCCGAACGCGTAGATTCTCTTGAAACGGCCGGCGTGGTCGGGCAGGGCAGTACAGTACGCGGCGAGAGTCGATACGAGGAGGATTAGGGAGATTATTGTGAGGATATTGTGGATTGAGGCCATTGTTTTTTTTTTTTTTT